ACAGGAAAATACTTTTTGTCAGCCCCCCCAACGCCCCAAATTTATGTGTCTGGAATTGCTGATATGGGGCTGAACTGGAGCCTCGCGCTCGGTCCATGCTTTGGATTTGGCCTGATTGGTGATTTCACAATCCTTCCCTGCTCCCACAGGGACCCAGGCCCTTCCCCCACTCTTCTCCCTCGGCTACCACCAGAGCCGCTGGAATTATCGAGACGAGGCTGATGTTATTGAAGTTGACCAGGGCTTTGATAACCATGACATCCCTTGTGATGTCATCTGGCTGGACATCGAACATGCCGACGGCAAACGCTACTTCACCTGGGACTCGAGCCGTTTTCCCCAGCCCCTTGCCATGCTGGGACATCTGGCCAGCAAAAGACGTAAGGTAAGAGAGCTAGCTGGCCACGAGAGCAAGTCCGACCGCTTTCGGGGGGCCCAGGAGGAGAGCCCTTGACCTCTTGGTCTTCTCTATTCCCAGCTGGTGGCCATCGTGGACCCCCACATCAAGGTGGACTCAGGATACCGGGTGCACGAGGAGTTACGGTCACTGGGACTGTATGTGAAGACCCGAGATGGTTCTGACTACGAGGGATGGTGCTGGCCAGGTCAGGAGGGGAGGCCTGGCCAGGATTGGCAGAGCGGAGGAGTGGGGTCCCAGTGTGGCCAGAGGTTAGGCCGACACGGGTGTGTCCCAGCCCCTCACCCCAGGGGGTGACCTTGCTTTTGACCTTCTTCAGGCTCTGTTGGCTACCCCGACTTCACAGACATCAAGATGAGAGAGTGGTGGGCAAACATGTTCAGCTTTGACAAGTATGAGGTAGGACGAGGGTGGGTGCCCCCTCCGTCCGTCCTTGTCTCCCCACTCCTTCCCTCCCCGTCCCGTCCACACTCTCCGTGCCTAGATGCTTGACTCCTTACTTTGCCTCGGCCTTGGCGGGCTGAACTGTCAGGGAGGGCCAGGCATCCCAGGGCCTGCGGGGAAGTGAAGCTTCCCAAGCACAAGTCTTTGCACAGCTTACCAAACAAGCAGGAACCCATTCACCGAACCTCTGCTTTGTGGTTCTAGGTTCAGTTCAGCAGGATAGTGAACCGAAGGGCGCAGTGTGTGTTCCTTTTGGGCTGTCTTTGTTTTCTTCTGCACATTTTGTTGATGATTTTTCTTTCTTTGTCATCTGTCGCTCCCCTCAGACCTCCCTTGTAACAAGTATCATTGAGAAAAACAGACCATGCCGTTGGCCATGTTGCAAAGGCCCCGGTTCCCAGCTCTACTGAGTGATGGGAGGCCCATCCCATTATTAGTCTTTAGTCCTGCCTGGGCACTGTTCAGGGGCTTTTGAAGTCTTTCTGGTCATCATGTACGTTGTCTTTTTAAGAAAGTCACTCTGCATCAGTTTGTAAAAGTGTTGCTTGGTTTCTCTGCATCTATAGCATCTATCATTTCTTAGAAAGCCTGTGTGTTGCTTCCTTGAACCCTGGTTCTCTTCCTTTTGTTTCTAGGGTTCAGCCTCAAATCTCTATGTTTGGAATGACATGAATGAACCATCAGTATTCAACGGCCCTGAGGTCACCATGCTCAAGGACGCCCGGCACCATGGGGGCTGGGAGCACCGAGACATCCACAACATCTATGGCTTCTACGTGGTGAGGCTTCTGGGGGACCTTGAGCCATGGGGAGTGTTGGGTTGGGGCCCGCCGCCTCACTGCCCTGACCACAGCTTTCTCTGCGCCCCCTCAGCACATGGCCACAGCAGAGGGGCTCATACGGCGCTCTGGAGGGGTGGAACGGCCATTCGTGCTCTCCAGGGCCTTCTTCGCTGGCTCTCAGCGCTTTGGTGAGATCTGAGGGGAGGGGACGGGAGGGGAGAGCAGGAAGTTTCTTGGGGTACAGGAGCACCCATCCTATGAGCAGTCTGTAAGCGGGTGGGTGCTCCATGCTGGCTCCAGCTGCACCATGCCAAGAGATCCAGTGGGTCTGCTTGGACCCCATGGCAGTCAGCAGCTCTGATGGATAGGAGAGCCCTGCTGAGCTGGAGGGAAAGCTCTCTTGGGTGGGATCTGAGAGGATGGGCCTCTCTTCCCCCTCCAAGCTCCCATTTGTGGTGTTCTCTCTCTGTGTCCTTTCCCAGGAGCTATCTGGACAGGGGACAATGCAGCAGAGTGGGACCATCTGAAAATCAGCATCCCCATGTGCCTCAGCTTGGGGCTGGTGGGACTTTCTTTCTGTGGGGGTGAGAAATGGGGACCTGGATGAAAGAGGGGCTCCAGGGAGAGGTCACTGCCTGGGAAAACCCAAGAGGCAGAGGGAGGGCGCACCTTCTCTACCAGTCTCATTTCATCTCTGTCTCATCTTCTGTCTGCCAGCGGATGTCGGTGGTTTCTTCAAGAACCCTGAGCCAGAGCTGATTCTGCGTTGGTACCAGGTAGGCGCCTACCAGCCATTCTACAGGGCACACTCGCACATGGACACAGGCCGGCGAGAGCCCTGGCTGCTGCCCCCCGAGTACCTGGGGCCAACCCGAGACGCCTTGCGCCAGCGCTATGCCCTACTCCCCTTTTGGTACACCCTCTTCTATCGTGCTCACCGTGATGGGCATCCTGTCATGAGGTGAGAGGGGCAGTGCCATGGGTTGGGAACAGAAGAGCGGCTGGGAGGACAGGCACGCGTGGACGTCCGCTCAGTACTTCAGTTCCACTCTCCCGTCCTCTTACCTGCAGGCCCCTGTGGGTGCAGTATCCAAAGGATGTGACCACCTTTGGCCAAGATGACCAGTACATGCTAGGTGAGAATGCTGGGAAGGGATTAAGGTCTGTGGCTGTGGGAGCGTGTAGTGCAGAGATCCCTTGCCCATAGCCTGGAAGCTGGGGCCCGTTTCCCGCTCTGCAGGTGACCGCACAGCACCCTGTCTGTTTTAGGAGACTCTCTGTTGGTTCACCCTGTGACAGAGCCTGGGGCCCGTGGAGTCCAAGTGTACCTGCCTGGCCAAGGGGAGGTGAGCTCATGGAGGGAAAGGGGCTTGAGACGGGACCAGGGAGAGAGAGGGGAAGAGGGTGTCTGGGGCAGGAACAAACACAGGGGGAAGCCGCCATCGTCACTTCTCCTCCTTAGGTGTGGTATGATATTCAGAGCTACCAGAAGCATCACGGCCCCCAGACCTTGTACCTCCCAGTCACTCTCAGCAGCGTGAGTGCTCCCCCCGTCCATCACTGCTTGCTCTTTCCCGTAGTGTCGCGTGTCCCTTGGGAGGACAGGAGGTTGGGACCTAAAGTAGGTGGGAGGGGCAGGTGTGAACGTTAAGTCAGGAGCACTTGACCCAGGCCTCTCTCTCTCCTCCAGATCCCTGTGTTTCAGCGTGGGGGAACCATCATACCTCGGTGGGAGCGGGTGAGACGTTCTTCAGATTGCATGAAGGACGACCCCATCACTCTTTACGTGGCAATCAGCCCCCAGGTGAGGGACCCCAGGAACCTCCCCTTTGGCCCCAGTCCCTCTAAATTCTGCTCTCCCTGGTGCTAGATCTCACCCACTTCTACACAGGGCACAGCGGAAGGAGAGCTCTATTTAGATGATGGCCACACGTTTAACTATCAGACCCAGAAGAAGTACCTGCATCGAAAGTTCAGCTTCTCAGGCAACACTCTCACCTCCAGGTGAGGCACGCTCCCCCGTGCAGTGGGGCATCGCCTCCCCTGCCTCCCCTCCTTCCCTTCGCCGCATCTCTCTTGACTAACGTGTTCTGCTCCCTCCAGCTCGGCTGACCCACAAGGTTACTTTGAGACCGGGGTCTGGATCGAGCGGGTGGTGATCCTGGGGGCTGGAAAGCCCGCCTCGGTGCTGCTGCAGACCGAGGGTAAGGAAGCGCCTTGACCCCCGAGGGAGGAAGGTAGGGGGCGGGTTCCGCCTGTCCCCATCTCACCGGTCTGTGTCTGTCTCCAGGCCTGCTTGAAAACCTCCTGGACTTCCATCACGAGGCAGAGACCTCGGTGCTGACTCTTCGCAGGCCTGGAGTCCATGTGTCAGCGGACTGGATCATCTATTTGCGATAGCCTGAGGGGTAGCCCTGCCCAAGTGTGATCCCGAGTGAGCCACCCCTCCCTCTGCCTGCCCCAGAGTCACCTTTCCAACCACAGGAGGGCCCAGATGCTGCCTGAAGGATTCACTGGCCATGAGCTGGGCAGGGGCCGGGGCCTGGGAATCCCTCCTCTGCTTCCCTGACCCTCCCCTCCCTGCAGATGGAGACAGCAGGGCCCCTTCCCAGACTTCACCCCATCATTGTAGGGGACCTGAACCCTTCCTCCCTAGACTCTTCCCACGAATGCCTTGGGTTCCGGCATCTGGATCACGCGACCCAAGGACACTGGGCCCCACCGTGAGCCCTTGCTTACCCCTTTTGTTCTCTCCTCTGGTCGAGGGAAGGAGATGCCAGGTGACTTCCCGTCAGCCTCTTTTCATACCCCACCGATACGCTGGGACCACCCCCTTACCTAGTGGGGGATGTGTGGGGAGGAAGAAGGTTGTGGGGTTCCTCCTTCCCCCAGCTCCTCACCCTGGCCAGAGCTGCTGCGGTTCATGAGAGGGGCCCCTCGCCTCCCTGCCCTGCAGGGGAGGAGGGAGCCCCCACCCTGCGTTGTGGGCTCCCCCTTCCCCCCGGGGGGGACGCACGGGACAAGGCTGCCGGTCCCGTGTATTTATTACTGGCAGAGCGGGGGCTGGGGGGCAATGGATCATGTGTGCCCAGGGTTGGGGGCTCCGAGGAATGGGGGAAGGGGTATCCGGCTGGACGTTTTGTACTTCCCTGCGGCGCCCGAGCTGGGACAGGTTTTGATAAACGGAAAAACAATAAAAGAACCCAAAGTCTTGGAAGTGGAGTCAGTGAGTGGGACGGGCCGGGGTGGGGGAGGGGACGGGCCGAGCCTGGTGCCGGGGTCAGGTCGGAGTGGCGGAGCCCGCGGAGCCCGCTTTGCGCTTGCGCCGCCGGGCACCCTCCCGGAGGACTACAGCTGGGAGGGCGGGTCCCCGGGTGACCCCTTTGGGGTGGGGTGTGAACTGTTTAGGTAAACCGCCGGGGCGTGGCATTGAGCGGCCCCTCCCCTGTCGGGCCTGGAAGGGCTTTCCCCTCCTTTCTCTCTCCTCCCCCCAATCCCCCCGCCCCTGGCCTCCTGCAGCCTCAGGATCCACGTGGGGACAGCGCCCACGTGACCATGCTAGGCGCTTTTAACCTGCTAGGGCCGCGTCATGTGCGTGGGCCGGATGTGACGTCACGGGTCCGGCGCTCCCGGAAGTGATCGGCGCGGGAAATCTGAAGGGTGGGACCGAGAGGTTTGCCCCGGAAGTTAGGGGATGGACCAGGATAAGTGACCGGAAGTGAACATCTGCCAGCCGGCCCGGAAGGAGAGAGGGGAAAAGGGGAGGAGGCGTGAGCTCCTCATCCTGGACCCTGTGGAGGGTGAGGCTGGGGTCGCATCCACCGATCCCCTTTCCCTCCCCGCCCCATCCCTGGGACCCTCCCGTCATCGCGCCACGCTCTTGTCTCTACCACCTGCCCCCTTTCCCGCTCTACCTCCGCGGCCCCCACTCCCGGCCTTGTCAGCCCTCTCCCCTTTCCCGATCTGCCTCCTTGGCCCCCACCCCCAGCCTTGTCATCCTCCAACCCCGACCCTGAAGTTCCCCAGCCCCCACCCCAGCCTTGTCATCCCCCACCCCCGGCCCTGAAGCCCCCCAGCTCCTGACCTTGTCACCTCCCCAGGCTTTGTAGACTCCCTCCCGTTGTCGCTGGGTCTCCCCAGGCCCCTCCTCCCCGGCCTTCCTTCTCTCTTACTTTTGAGGCTCTCAACCCTTGCCTGTCTCTGGCCCCTCTCTTCCCATTCCTGGTCAGCTCTCTCCCCGCTTCCGTCCCTGCTCATCCTCAGCTCCGTCCTCCATTTCCGCAGGGTCCTGCCACGTCTGGTCATGAAGCTGAAGCTGAAGAACGTTTTTCTCGTCTATTTTTTGGTGTCCCTCACCGGCCTCCTCTATGCCCTCCTGCAGCTCGGTGAGGAAGGAGGGGTGAGGGAAGGGGGCAGATGGGGCTCAAGGTGTCCTGGATGGTGACCCTTGGTGGCGGGCGGCGGATAAAGGGCTCTTAGAGGCAGCCAGCGTGGTCTCTCCTTCCAGGAATCTTTGGATGCTGGGGCTGGGGGTGGCCTTGGGCATCCTTCAGGACCATCGTCTCCTTATAGAGATGGCTGCATCCGAGCCAGGACTACGGTTAGGGTCTTTAGGCTCCCCTTCTAATGTTCCTCACCGCCTCCTGCTTTCAGGCAGGTCAGGTAGGTGCTCTCTGGCTCCTGCACACGAGGCCTTTGGAGCTCCTGGAGGGAAGATGAGGTAAAGAGTCAGCAGGAAGCCCATTCAGACCTTTCCTTTTGAAGGTGAAGAAACAGGTCCTCTCGCCTGAGGTCATACAGATCCGCTGGTAGAATGCTGGGTTTAGGGATGGAGGGGATGTCCCACAGAGGCCCTTTCTTTCTACTTTTCTCATTGTGCGTCTGGGGAAACTGAGGCCTAGAGAGGTTAAGAGACTTGTTCTGGGCTGCACAAGTATGAAGGTGGTGGTTGAAGGTGGAGAGACCTCTCTTTTCTAGTCTGTGGCTCTCGGGGCAGAAATGAGCCCCTCTTCTCTGCCCCACCCCCTCCTCCCCCTTTTCTGCGACTCAGGCCAGCCCTGTGACTGCTCCCCACATCTCCGAGCAGCTGCCGAGCACCTTCGCAGGAAAGACCTGAAGATCTCCCAGTTGCAAGCTGAGCTCGGTCGGCCACCCCCTGCTCCCGCCCAGCCCCCTGAACCTGAGGCTTTGCCCACCATCTACGTTGTGACCCCTACCTATGCCAGGTACCTGCTTTGTCTGGGAAGCCCGTCCTTTCAGCAAATTGGGATTGGCTGGTTTTTTAAAAACACAGATGGTATAGTTGGGGATGAGATGTGGACCAGGGTTGGGTGCAAAGCCTGTGGTCCAGGACTGATGTCCATCCTGGGAGGATGTCTTCTGACTACATGAAGAGTAGGAGGGAGGAGGATCAGCCAGGCCCTGGCTGGAGACACCCTGACTGGGTTTGGGGTGCTGGGCACCCGGCACCTCTTTGAGGGAGAAGCTAAGACTGAGTGGGAGAAGATGTTGAGATTCAGAGAGAGGGAACATGGGAAAAACTACATGGTCATTGTTGAGCCAAGTGCCTTGTGGAATCCCTGCATTCCCTCGCTGGGGCCCAGCTGAGTGCAGAGGGAACAGAGACAGAGAAGGAGATTTTCTCTTTGGAAGGTGCGGTGTTTTTTGCACACAGCCAATTTTATTCTCACTGTAACTGTGAAGAAAGTACTCCAGCTGTTATTCTCCATCTAGAAACAGATTGGGAGATCACAGGCCTTGCCAAGGTCTCAGTAGTAGAGAACATCACAGGTGTGGGCTCCATGGAATATTAAATCCAGGCTTCTGAAACAGTAGGAGTGTTCTAGAACATTCTTTGTTCTGAGGCTATGTCAGGCTTCAGCCGTGGATGAGTGGCGTCCGTCTTTATCCTGTCCCCCCGTCCCCCAGTTCTTCTCCTTCTCTTACCCCCATCTTTCCCATCTCAGGCTGGTGCAGAAGGCTGAGCTGGTTCGCCTGTCACAGACCCTGTCCTTGGTGCCCAGACTTCATTGGGTGGTGGTAGAGGATGCTGAGACCCCTACCCCCCTGGTCTCAGCACTGCTGGCCGCCTCTGGCCTCCGATTCACTCACCTGGTAGCTCTCACGCCTAAGGGACAGCGGCTTCGAGAAGGGGAGCCAGGCTGGGTCCGGCCCCGGGGTGTGGAGCAGCGAAACAGAGCCCTGGATTGGCTCCGGGGAAAAGAGACTGCAGTTGGTGGGGAAAGGGACCCGCCCCCTGAGGGGGCCCGTGGGGTCGTATACTTCGCTGATGATGACAACACCTATAGCCGGGAGCTCTTTGAGGAGGTAAGAGAAACCATTTGTGGAGATTGTGCGGAGAAGAGTCAAATGGAAAATTCCTTAGTTACCAAATCTGCTGTATGGGGTGTGAGGGGGGCTGCTGGTGGAAGGGGCCCCTCACAGGAGTTTGGCCTATTGGGTAATTGTTCATATGCTGTTTCTGCCTTGGTGACTGTGTCTATCTCCTTTGATCCGTTTTATCCTCCAGATGAGGGGAACCCGAGGCGTCTCCGTGTGGCCCGTGGGACTGGTCGGTGGCCTGCGGTTTGAGGGGCCCCAGGTGCAGGGGGGCCAGGTGGTTGGCTTCCACACAGCCTGGGAGCCCGACCGGCCCTTCCCTCTGGACATGGCCGGCTTTGCTGTATCACTGCCTCTTCTCTTGTCTCGGCCTGGTGCCCAGTTTGACCCAACAGCCCCCCGGGGCCATCTCGAGAGCAGTCTCCTCAGCCATCTCATTGACCCCAAGGATCTGGAGCCCCGGGCTTCGAACTGCACACGGGTAAAGGGTTGGGAACCACAGGGTGGGAGGCAGGGCAGAAAATACTTTCTCAGGCATAAGCATGCAGCCTCTCATTCTAGTGAGCTTGTTATTTTAACGTTTTTAAGACCTGCTCATGAGATTGAGAGCTTTAAAATGTGTGGAGGGTTTGGTGATTGAAGAGAAGGCGTAGTGGGGGAGGGGTCAGGTCTTGTGAAAGTGGAGGTGGGGGTAGCCCCAAGGGACCTGTTCATTTGGGTAGGGCAGAGAAGAGAGCTTCTGGACAGAGGCATTGTCTTCTCCCCTCCGGGTGGGTCCCCTCGCCCTTTCTGACTGGGGGGGGGGCTGGTGCTGATTGCAGGTGCTGGTGTGGCACACGAGAACAGAGAAACCCAAGATGAAACAGGAAGAACAACTGCAGAGGCTGGGGCGGGGCTCGGACCCGGGCATCGAGGTGTGACCAGAGAGGCTGACGCTCCTTGGGACACGCCGTACGCTAGAGAAGTTTGTTCTCTCGCCTTCCAAGGTCATGACCCTCCAGATTTGGGGTCTGCCCCATGGACCTGGTGGACACAGTGACCATTTCTAGGGCTCCTCCCTCCCCCATCTTGCCATGTGGAGCTGGCCAAAGAGAACCAGTGGACAGTGGTGTTGAGCTGGGTCAGTCCTGGGGTGAGGACTCAGCTGGAAGAGCAGGGCAGACTGCCTGAAGAGTGGTGCTGTCCAGTTACTCAGTGGGCACGGGCATGCATTTTGGGGCCTGATCAGGAGGGGGCTGCTAAGGCCCTCCCCACAGTGAGCATGTTCCCCCATTCCTACCTCCAGAATAAAGTATGTCAATCATCTGGCTTCTGCTGTTTGCTCAGTGGGGCTCATGGGGCTACCCCTCCCCTGACACCCAGGGTCTGAACCCCCTTAGAATCAGGTCAGACCCCAGAGTGGTACCAGGGCCCCTCTTGAACCAAGAAATGCCTCCTCGCCTTGGTCAGAGAAAACAGTGCCCGCTCTCCCTATCCCAAGAAAGAAAGGAAAGAGAGCGTCAGGCGGCCGAGGTTTATTGATTTTTGTGCACATGCAGATTTTTGCCATTTCTTTCCTGGGTGCCCGGCTCTCACTTCACCCCCATGGCCCCCTCCACCTCCTCATGGTCCCCCCAGGAGCGGGCCCTGTCCCCCTCCGCCTGTGCCAGCGGCAGGGGCTCTGAAGCGGGATGATGGGTTTCTATCTTTAGCTACTTTTGGCTAAATGCTTCCCTCTCTGTCTTCTGGCTGTCGCCCCTAATCTAGTTCCTTTCCTTTCTTCCCCAGACCCTGCTGTTGCCCCTCTTCATTCCCCTCCAGAGCATGCCGTTCTCAGCGTGGCCACTGCTGCAAGGAGGGAGACTGAGAACAGCTCTGGCCAGCCTCTCCTCCTTTCGTTCCCCCCTTGCCCTCCTCTGGGGTGCTAGGCTTCTGCTGGGACCTCCTCAGCTGGGGCCTCTGGTGGCACCTCCTCGGGCACAGGTCTCTGAGCACACAGCCCCTGCTGGAATGCACTTTTCAGCATCTCTTTGAGCCCCCCAGAGAACAGGTAGCCTTGGGTGTCACCCTCCCCATCTATGGCTCCTCCCAGGCCCTCCAAAGCTGTCTGCAGGTACCGTAGTCCCAGGAGCACCAACACCTGTGAGAGGCAAAGGGAGAGGGGTCAGGGAGGAGTGTTCCATGACTCAGAGGCCTGAGGGCTGCCTAAGGGGCTTGTCTGAGCTCTAGCCTAAGGCAGCAGTGTCTCAGAAGTGGCGCCTCAGCTCCATCTGCTTACCTGTAGTAGGAAGGTAATGCCGAGCACGGTCCCCAGGGTACTGGCCAGCCCCCCCCAGGAGCCTCAGTAGCACACCGTGGCAGCCCTGTTCCCAGAGGTTGAGGTTGGGCTGCCGAGGATCAGACAGGGGGTGGACCTGTGTGCTGGAGAGCTGGTTCTGCAGGCAGGGCCAGGGGGAGTGGGGGTTGCAGCAGGAGAAGGGGACCCCATCGATTAGATAGAGCCCTTCCACGTTGCTGTGGATCTGGCTGTCAAAGAAGTGGAGAGGCTGTCAGCCGGGGTGGGGGGGGCATCTGGAGAATGGCAGGGGAGGGGAGAGGGTGGGGGTGGGCTTACAGGACTAGAGGGGGCCAAGGAGCGCTCTATCACTTACTCAATTACGTCCTGGTTATTGGGGTCCAGATACCGGCTACCGATCCACTGAACGGTGAACCAGTCTTTGTAGCTGTGCCGTCCACAGCAGTGGTAGGCCAGCTGGAGCTCATCCATCAGCCGCTTAGCATTGCAGTGCCCCGGAACCTCTGTGTCCTTGTAGTGTGCCAAGGCTGTCCCCAAACCATTTTCTAGAGCAGCATCCAGGCCCCTGGGCAATGCTAGGGCCAGACCTACTGCCAGGGCCAGGAGACCCCCACCCCCAAGGGTCCCAGCCAGCAGGATTGGTCCCAGCACCCCTCGCCAAGGTGGATAGCGGGCCGCATCCAAGGATGCTCTAGTGATTCCAGCCCCTACGACTCCCATGCCCAAGGCAGCCGCCCCTGCAGCCAAAGCTGTCTTGGGGAGGGCTGGAAATGAGCAGGTGGGGTCCAAGAAAGGGCTCAGGTGCCACAGCTGTGCCAGGAGGTGGCCACTAGAGATCAGGGTGAGGCCACCTGCCAGAGTCAACAGCCAGGAGAAGAGCCAGAGCCCCTGGGCCAGGCGGATCCGGGCCTGGAGGGGCAGGGGAAGGGGCAGAAAGACAGCCATCTCCCATCTCTGTCCTGGGGGAGTGCAGAGGGGCCTGCCAGGGGACCTAGACAGGGGCCAGGCCGCTGAGTCAGCCTGGCTTGGCTCAGCCCTGGGTTAATGCCAACCTGACCCCAATACCCAAGGGGCCCACCCCTAAGCCTTAATAACTTTTTGTCCTGCCTATCCACTCCCCCCCGCCCCAACCAGCCCCAGTCCCAGCACTGATTTCCTGGCTCCACGCCCCCCTCCGCTCCCCTCCCCCCGTGGGACCCTCCCCTGTTGATAAGACAGGCAGTCCTGCGGCCCCGCCCCCTGCTCCTGTTCTACACCCCCCCACCCCCCCCACCTGCCCCGCCTGGCCTCTGTGTGCACCGTACCCCTAATACACACTTTGCTCGAGTCCATTAAAAGGGGGTGGGTGGGAGCTGAGCTCCTGAGCCTGTTGGGTGTCAGCTCTGGTCCCCTGGGAATAGAGGGTAAATGCGCGGGGGCGATCCGAGAAGAGCCGGGGGCTAGTGGAGAGGCAGGGCACTTGGGAAGTGTGGGGATCCGGAGGGGGCGAGTAGGTCACGGGAGGTCTCGGGCCCTTTGCCCCGCCCTCCCTTCCGCCCCCGTGGGAGTACAGCCGGGCCCGGGCAGGGAGGGGTTACGGGGCGGCCCCGGCCCCCCCCCCCCCCCCCCCCCCCCCCCCCGGGGGGGGGCCCGCCGGGGCCGGGGGGGGGGGGGGTTGGGGGCCGCCCCCCCCCCCCCCCCCCCCCCCCCCCAGTGCTTCCTGGCTGCTCCGCGTCCGGCGTCTGTTTGCGCCGCGGAGCAGGGGCCCGGGACTGCTCCCCTGCCCCTCGGGAGCCCAGAGCCAGCCCGGGGACGGCGCCCTCCTGCGCCCCGACGGGGGCCCCTGCTCCCCCCGGCTGCCCGCTCCCCGCCCGGCCGCCCAGTGCCCTCCCCGGGCGGGCCATGGCCCTGGCATCTCCCCAGCCTTAGACGCGGCCGCCGCTCGCGGCTCGATCGGAGCACCCCGGGGGGGAGGGCAGAATGGACGGGGCCGCGGGGCCGGGTGAGTACCAGGCCAGGGGGAGTGGGAGCACTCCGTAGACTTGAGGACACTTCAGGAGCGGCCCTTCCGAGGGGGTCGCCGGTGCTCCACAGCAGCAGTGCGCAGCGTGGAGCCCCTTCCTTCCTGGGGCGCTGTTAGCCGGCTGTCAGTCCCCAGCTCCTGGGCACGGCTCCGTCCCCTCTGCCCCACTCCACGTTGCTCCCAACCTCCTGAGTAGGTCAGGCAGGAAGGGGCCCGCCAGGCTGAGCCCTGGCCAGGAGGGAGGAGTGGGCGTCAGGGAATGAGCTCCCTTCCTCCCCCGGAATCTCCACCCTGAGCCCGGCCCCCTCCTTCTCTCCCTCCTGAGGCTGGAGACAGCTTGCATCAGTGGAGGGGGACTTAGGGGGTTCCCTTCAGTCCTTATTCCCAAGGGAATGCAGAAAGGCCAGGAGCCCAGGAGCCCTGGGTCCTGCTCCTAAATGCCAGCCCAGCAGAGAGCTGAGCGGGCCGGGTGTGATCACCCCTCTCTCCTGATGTAGGTGAGGGCCAGGCTGGGGGCTTGGAGCCCCCCGGATCAGACATCCTGGGGGCCTTAAATCAGAGGCTCCGGGTTCAAGAGGAGGAGATGGAGCTGGTGAAAGCTGCCTTGGCGGAAGTCCTGCGGAGACTCAGGCTGCAGGAGGGGACCCCAAGGTCACTCCTGGGAGCTCCAGCTTCTCCCGTCTCTGTGCAGGCATCCAGGGAGGCTGCCTCATTTAGTGACAGGTACCTGGCCTCCCTTCTGCCTCCTGCCTCCTTTCTCTCTGCTGCTCTCTGACCCGTGGGCCAGGCTCATCTCGTTGTCTCACTCTTTCCCCAGTGGCCCCCCGGCCCCTCCAGGGTTGCCACCTCCACCCAGGCCTTCCTTGGTGAGCAGGGGCACCCAGACGGAGATGGAGCCTGAGTCCAAGCTGTCTTCTGGCCCCTTAGCCTTGAGCAATGGGCCCCCAGCTCCTCCTGCGGGTGGAGAGGAGGAGCTGGGAGGTGTCCAGTCCGAAGGAGGTGGAGGGAACAGCAGTGGCGCTGGTTCTCCTGGCCCTCCTGGGGCCCTGCGGCCCTTTCAGCTCCCTCAAAGGGGGGACACGTGAGTCTCCTGGGCATCAGAGCCGGGGGTGGGAGAGGAAGGGAGGGGGGTGGCCAAGGGCCCCCCGCCTGAGGTCTTTCACCTTCTGGTAGGAAGGTGGGAATGGAGGCTCATTCTTTAACTTCATCTTCTTCCTTGTCTCCTCTGGGGACCCGCTGCACCTCCCACCCCGGGCCTGCACTCAGGCCTCGCCGGAATTCCTCCTCTTTCTCCTCCCCTTCTGAACGGCCTCGCCAGAAGCTCTCCAAAAAAGCGGCTTCGTCAGCCAACCTGCTGCTGCGGTCGGGCAGCTCCGAAAGGTGGGCCGCTCCTCGCTCCAGACACTTCCCTTCCTCTCTGTCAGCCTCCCATAGGATGGCCAGATCGGGGTGCGGGCCTGTCTCCCCCAGCATCCTCAGAGGTCTCTGGGAGGTCCCAGCCTTCACTAGGCGTTCTTTCATTTATTTATCCATTCCACAAACATTGGAGGCAACGTTTCTCGATGCTCACCACAGTGAGTGAAGTAGATACTATTATTATCCCTGTTTTACAGATGAAAAAATCGAGGCTCAGACAGATTAAAAGGTTAAATGTCTGAGGCAGGTTTCAAACTCAGATTTTGTGACTCCTAGATTAAGACACCGAAACCCCCCTCCCACACCTCGTTTTTGTCACCCCTGCCTGGGCACTGTGGAAGAGGCAATGCTGACTGAGATGCCGTTGTGGGGTCTTGGAGAGGCCGTCTCATTCAGGGCTTCTTAACCTGGGGCCTGCAAACTTGTTTTAGAAAATATTTTAATAATTATTTCAATTCCATTGGTTTCCTTAATTAATCCTACGTATTCTGTTCACCTAGAAACAATATTCCAAAAAGGGACCCTTAGGTTGCCCGACTGTCTGAAGGCTTAAGAACTCCTGATCGAGTCTGGCCTTGTCGTTTTACACAGGAGGAAACTGAGGCCCAGACAGCTAAAATAACGTGATTTACACCTAGGCAGTCCTAAGCACCTCCCCACCACCCTAAGCGGTTCCGAGAGAGGCCTGCCCCAATCCAGCCAAAGCACCAGGTTCCCAGCAGGTTTCAACCAGGCCATTGAGATGTATCTCTCCCTCCCTCTCAGTCATCTGATTTGTTACAAATCAAGCTACTGTAGCAGGGTCCGCCATGGGGTCTGCGCAGCCGTGAAGCAGGGCTATTCCCCAAGCAGACAGATCTACTTGCCCTGGGGAGGATGTATCACAGAGCAAGAACTTGGGGAGAGGTCAGCTATAGAACAGGTAGGAACTCTTGCTCAGCCAGTTCTAGGCCAGAGAGGTCTGGCTTTGAATCCTGTCTCAGACACTTAATAGCTGAGTGAGCCTCTATTTTCTCCTGCAAAATGGGGATAATAATGCCCAGAGTGGGAGGCTGCATGACTTCATGGGTCCCTCGTCCTCTTGGCAAAACCTGGGTTCAAGTCTGGCCACTGACACAAACTGGCTGTATGACCCTGAGTTAGTCACTGTTCCTTACAGTGCCTCAGGCAATGCCCTAGAATAGAAGCCTCAGGGCACTTAGTGATCTTCCTGGGCCTCTCTTCACTAGTAGTTCCCTGGAAGAGCCAACCATCCCCTAGGAGCCATGGCTGCAGCTGGGTGGTACCACAGTGGCTGGATGGTTCCCAGACTTGGAGTCAAGAAGACCTGAGTTCAAACTGGCCTCAGGCAATCAGTCACTAGTGACTCTGGGCAAGTCATTTCACGGCCGTTTGCCTCAGTTTCCTCATCTGTGGAATGGGGGTAACCATACCACCAAATGAGATCATATTTATAAAAATGCTTCATGCTAGCTATAATTAGTGTTTTTTTCCTTGATGCTAACTAAACCTTCGCCCAGACTTCTCTCCCCGAGGTTTTGCTCTGTGACACATCCTCACCTCTTGACTTTTTCTCACCTTTCTCCGCAGCCGAGGAGGGAAAGATCCAGTCTCCAGCCCTGGAGGCCCTGGTTCTCGGAGGAGCAATTATAACCTGGGTAAAGGGCAGATTCGGGGAAGCAGGGTCTGTTTGGTGGGGTCAGGAGGCAGGGCTGCCTCCAAAGAGAGGGAGTTCTCCATCCTCGAGGTCTCCCAGCAGTGGTGAGAGGATCACTTGTTAGCTGTGTTGTGGAGGTGAGATTTGTGGTCAGGCGTGGGTCTGATCTGGGGTCCTTTCCAACTCTGGACTGTGGAACCCTGGGATTGAAAACAGTAGGCCCTCAAGTGAGGATGGGGCTCAGGGGATGGACTTTAGCTCCCAAATTGTCCTCCTCCCCAGGGGGCATGGGGAGAGAGAATTGAAAGGTAAGCCCCATCTCCCTGTCTCCCCTGCAGAGGGCATCTCGGTGAAGATGTTCCTTCGGGGTCGGCCTATCACCATGTACATTCCGTCAGGCGTCCGCAGTCCTGAGGAGCTGCCCAGTGGCCCACCCCCGGAAAACCTCAGCCTGGACTGGGTGTATCCTCCCATCCCGTCCCCTGGCCCAGAGTGGCCACCTTGCCCCCTCCTCTCCCCCCAGAATTCCCTCGTCCCTCTCCTCAATGCCCTTGCCAGCGAAGGAGCCTTCTCCCGCTTGACCTCTGACCCCTGTCCATCATAGTCAGTTCCGTAGGCATTTATTAAGCATTTACCTCATTACACTGGCCTCAAGGGGCCTTCAGTTGATTCTTGTTCATAGGTTTGTTACAAGCTAGGATGGGATAGCAAGAGTTATAGAATGCTACAGAAATATTCAAGGCAGGAGAGTCTTGGTTTTACCTAGAGGAGATCAAAGAAAATGGCCCCTGAGCTGGGCTTCAGTGGAGAAAAGGGATTTCAACAGGCAGAGATGAGGAAGGCCTTCATGAATGTCCAGAGGTCAGAGGTAATAGGTTGAGTTTGGGGAGCAGCAGGTCTGGTCTGATTGGAACCCCTGGGTGGAGAGCAGTGAGGTCACAGATATTCAAAGAGTCGGGTGGAGTCTGATTGGAGAAGGCCAGAAATGCCGGGATAAGGCACTAGGGACACACAGAAGGTTCTTAAGCTGAGGAGCATATGGTCAGAGGGGTGCCTTCAGAAGACGACTTTGGCAGCAGCCACTCGGAGAGAGATCAGAGAGGGGAGAGGCCGGCAGCAGGGAGACATCAGGCAGCCCTGGAGTTCTGTTCTGGTTCTAGGTTTCTGGGGGACCCTGGCCTTGCTGGGGGTCCAGAACCAGGCCCATGGCTTTGAGGGGGAAAAGAATGGGAAGGATTGGAGAGGGGCAGCGGAGGTGGCGGGCAGGCTTCCGCCGCTGATGGGCCTTGCAAGGTGGAGGGGATGGGAGAGCCAGGTGCGGCTGGTGGAGCCATCCCCAAGAATTTCTTTGGGTTTCTTTTCCTTGACCTTCCTCCTCCTCCTCCCAGTTATGGGTACAGGGGCCGAGACTCTCGTTCCAACCTATTTGTACTTCGCTCTGGGGAAGTGGTTTATTTCATTGCCTGCGTAGTGGTGCTGTATCGCCCAGGAGGAGGCCCGGGAGGCCCTGGCGGTGGGGGCCAGAGACACTACCTGGGGCACACGGATTGTGTTCGCTGGTGAGGTCAACAGCGTGGGGGGGAAGGAGGACCCAGGAGGTGGGAGAGTCGTTTCAGGAGAAGGCTCTACCCAGAAGGGATGGCTCGGTAGCCCTCAGGGATGAGGGGAGGGAGGGAAGCTGTGGCTTGACAAAAGTGATGGGCTTACTGATAGCTTTGGAGGCAGAGGGTAAGGGCTCAATTCCTCAGTCACCTACCTTCTCCCTGCGGCCTCCGTTGGCTCTTTGATCGTATAAATTAGAGGCAGACGGTACTTGTACTTTCCAGCTCATCTTGGCCAGTTGCCTGCAGCTGGAAATCCTGGGATCCCAGGGACCTCCCAGGTGGGGGGCTTAGAGATCCCTCCCCCAGTGGCATATCCCCTTCTCCACCTTTAGCCTCGCTGTCCATCCTGATGGTGTCCGAGTAGCTTCTGGCCAGACGGCAGGGGTCGACAAGGATGGCAAGGTACTGTGGGACCAAGCCTGGACGGGGTGGGCTGATGGTCTGAACCTGTTTGCTGACTTCCGTTTGCCTCTGGCTCTGACTCTCCCTTCAGCCCCTTCAGCCAGTGGTTCACATCTGGGATTCAGAGAAACTACATAAGCTACAGGAGATCGGCCTTGGGGTGTTTGAGCGAGGAGTTGGGGCCCTCGCCTTTTCTGTCTCGGTGAGCTGGCCCCTCCCCACAGCCCATGTCCATGCCAGAGAGAAACCTATGCAGCCCACGGCCCTTCCTGCCTTAGCAAGCGCCTGGCACACATAGTAGGTGCTTAATAAGTTCTCAGTGTCTGCCTGCCATCTTCCTGGGCCCCTATGATTGGGGCCTGTTTTAGCCCGTCCTGTCCCCTTTCCCCATGAGTGCCCTGTGGCCGTGCCCCTCAGACCCAGGGCTCCACCCTGAGTTCCCAATGTGCCCTCACCCCCAGGATCAGGGCAACTTCCTTTGTGTGGTGGATGATTCTAATGAGCACATGTTGTCCGTCTGGGACTGGAACCGAGGCGCCAAGCTGGTGGAAATCAAGGTGAGGGCCTCGGGGGGGCGGAGCGGAGGAGCGAGGCTGTTGGGGCTTCAGGTCGGGGGTCGAGGTCACGGCAAAGTCTTCTGGTGGTTTGGGGGACAGAAGAGGCAAAGTCAGGGGTTGGGGCTGATGTGGAGTCTCCGGATGCCTCCCTCCCTGGTTAGCTGCGGCCTCCTTTCAGGAACGATTAGCAGCATGAAGTGGATTGAGGTTCAGATCCCACCACTGCCTCTTACTGCTACTGGAATGGCCTTGGGCAAGTCACTTCTCCCTGGGCCTCCGTTTCTCCTGGAAAATGCCAAATGACCTCTAAGGCCTCTTTCAGCTCTACATCTCTGAGCCCTCTGAACGTGTGACACCCTGAAGCATGGGTTACTTTCAAAGGGGCGGGGCTGGGAAGTGGGCTTCCTGGGCTGGACTGGGTTAGAGGATCTGGAGGCTGCCTGGCCGTCTAACCGTCAGGTCTCCTTCCCTTCAGAGTACAAACGACTCTGTCCTGGCCGTTGGCTTCAATCCCCGAGACAGCAGTTGTATCGTCACCAGTGGGAAGTCCCATGTCCACTTCTGGAACTGGTCTACTGGAGGAGGGGCTCTGGGCAGTGGGGGACTCACCCGGAAACAGGGTGTCTTTGGGGTGAGGTCTGAAGGGGCTTGGTGGGTAGTAATGGGTGTGTATGAATGTCAAGTGGGCACTGCCCCACAGAGCCTAGATTTGATCCCTGACATCTGACCCCGCCCCCAACTCCCAAAAGTACAAACTTATCCCTTGACCACTCTGAAGATCTCGTGACTCGCCTTTTACCTCTGCCCTCTGCCCCCTCCCAGAAATACAAGAAGCCCAAATTCGTCCCCTGCTTTGTGTTCCTTCCCGATGGAGACATCCTCACGGGGGACTCAGAAGGAACCATCCTCACCTGGGGGCGGAGCTTGCCTGACTCCAGGACCCCAGGCAGGGGTGGGGCTAAAGGTATGTGATTACCCCAATCCCCAAGGCTTGCCAGGACCATCCCACCAAGACAGCCAGGGCAGTTCCCAGAGGGCAGGGTAGAGAATTGAGAGGAAGAGCCTTAGTAGTAGGGAGTCCAGCCCTGGAGGCAGCCTAGGAACCCCTCTTGGGAAAGTGACTTCCCCGTCTAGGCCTCAGTTTCCTCATCTGTGGAATGAGGGGGTTGGGCTAGATCAGGGAGTCTTACCCTGCTTAATGGACAGATTTTAGACAGTCCTTAAACTTGGAACGGGCAAAAATGACATTTTAAAATTTCCACTAGCCTCTAACAGAAATTTAACATTTCCTTCAATTATTAATGCAGGCAACAAACCAGTCATATTAGGTTTCACTAGATTGCCAGAGGGGACCATGATGCAGAAAAGGGGAAGCCTCCCTGGATTTAGGTGGTTGCTAAGGCCCCTTGCAGCTCTGACATTCTGGGTTCCAGGGCCCCACGCAGTCAGTGTTCTGAGGCCCCTTGCAGCACTGACATGCCATATTCTAAGGGCCTTCCCAGCTCTGCTGTTCTACGTTTTAAAGCATTCATTATACCTGGACTTGGCCCTCAGTCCATCCTCCCCCCCCTCCATTGGATCCATCACGACCTTCCAAGTGACCTTGATCTCACCAACCCTGGCCCTCCCTCTTCCATACAGAGACGTTTGGCATCGTGGCTCAGACCCGAGCCCACGAGGGCTCCATCTTCGCTTTGTGTCTGCTGAGGGACGGGACTGTGCTGAGCGGGGGTGGGAGGGATCGCCGGTTGGTTCAGTGGGGGCCTGGGCTCACTGCCCTCCAGGAGGCTGAGGTAAGGCTGGGACTGGAAGTGGCGGGAGGGGAAGAACTGGGGTAGATGGGGCTGGGGAGCAGGAGGAAAGTTGTGGGGCCTTCTTTCCTCCTGAGACGTGGATACCTCCCACCTCCAGATCCCAGAACAGTTTGGAGCTGTCCGGGCCATTGCCGAAGGGCTGGGGTCAGAGCTGCTGGTGGGCACGACGAAGAATGCACTGTTGAGGGGAGACCTGACTCAGGGCTTTTCCCCTGTTATCCAGGTTCGGGTTTGTGTGGGGCCACAGGAGTGTGGGGCTGGGTGGCAAGGACATCTGATAACATCATTTAGCCTTGGTATCCCGTAGGGTCACACTGATGAACTCTGGGGTCTCTGCACTCACCCCTCCCTGAACCGCTTCCTTACCTGTGGCCATGACCGACAGCTCTGTCTGTGGGATGGAGAGTGTCACGCCCTGGCCTGGAGCCTTGATCTCAAGGTACTGTTGCCGTGAACCTATACCCTACCATTTTATATCCTGGGACCCCTTTCCCTCTCCTCCCCCATAATCTTTGGGGAATCCAGCGATCTCTCCCAGGGCTGGCTACTCCTTCCCTTTGAGAAGCACTGAGGAGGGGGTGGGCTTTGAGTTTGTCAAGAGGCAGGGTGATCTGGTGGGTTCCCCCCATGAGAAAAGTATCTCCTTGAATCCCAACCCCAGCCTCCCATCTCTGACCACCCTCCCCCTCCAGGAGACGGGTCTCTGTGCTGATTTCCACCCCAGTGGGAAGGTCGTGGCTGTGGGACTCAACACTGGGAGGTGAGAGTGGGTGGAACCAAGGCTCCAGGGCTGGAAGGGGGAGGAAGGAGGGAGGGAAAGAGAAGTTGGGGGAGTGGCGGATGTGGCCCTAGCCGCTGGCCCCACACCCTCCTCTGACCCTAGGTGGCTGGTTCTGGACACAGAGACCCGAGACATTGTGTCAGATTTCACTGATGGTAATGAGCAGCTCTCAGTTGTCAGGTATAGTCCAGGTGAGAGCCTCTCCCGCCCCCCCCCCACCCCAACCTGGAGGCCTCTCTCTCTCCCCCTCCCTCTCCCCCCCTCCTTCCCCCCCCCCAATCTCTGTCTCTCTCTGACCTGCCTTCTTTCCCCCCATCCCGGTTCCTTTCCTCTGACGTTACCTTCCAATTATTCTCCCCTATAATGTTGGCCACTTGTCTCCTGTATTCAAAGGTAAGCTGGAGAGCAGGGACTCTTTGGTCTTGCCTTTCCTTATATCCCCTGCTTTTAGCGCACTGCTTGGCCCATAGTAAGCCCTTAAGAAATGCTTGTTGATTGACTTCTTCAGATGGGATGTATCTGGCCATTGGTTCCCACGACAACACGATCTACATCTACAGTGTGTCCAGCGATGGGGCCAAGTGCAGCCGGTTTGGCCGATGCGCGGTGAGTGTGCCCAATGAGCAGAGTGGCTTGGGGGTGGTGCTAGAGGCGGTAGGGTCAGGCAAGCTCTTCACAGACTCTGCTAGGGAATGGCCTGGGGCTGGGGTGGGAACGGGAGGCTCCAATAATTTTGACACACCTCCCCCTTTCCCCCAGGGGCACTCCAGCTTCATCACTCATCTAGACTGGTCCAAAGATGGCAGTTTCATCATGTCCAATTCTGGGGACTACGAGATCCTCTACTGTGAGGAGGGGTTCACAGGGGTGGGTCACAGGGATCACGTTTTCTCCCCCACTATGGCTCAGAGCTAGAGTGAGGGGGCACTGGGGGATTTGGGGGCATTTTCCTGGGTTTGAATCCCAGCACTGCTGCTTACTCTCAAGTTACTTTCCTTTCTTCAGCTTTTCATTTGCTCATCTTTACAATGAGATTTGGGTCTGTTGCAGCTCTGACATTCTAGGTTCTAAGCCCCCTCCAGGCTCTAACATTCTAGCTTCTAAGGTCCCGCTCAGCACTGATGTTCTGTGCTCTAAAGTCCTTTCCTGCTGTGACATTTGATATTTCTATTTTCTAAAGCTCCTCCCAGCTCTAAATCCCACGATCTCATGAACCTAATCCATGGAAAATGTGCCAAGCAAAGACCTGTATAGAAAAATTATCCAGGAGCATTGGGGGAGTCCAGGGGTGACTTCAGGAATATCAATTTGCCAGGAAATCGTGGAGCCCAAGCCCTCTCTAGGCTCGCCTCATTTTCTTCAATCTGCTGAGTTGATGGAAAGTGATTGACCTAAGTGGGGCTTCCCTCCTTCCCTTCCTCCCAGGGGACGTGGCAGGGGGTTGCAAGTTACTGAGAAATCGGTATGAGAGCCGGGATCGCGAGTGGGCGACCTATACATGTGTCTTGGGTTTCCACGTGTATGGTGAGCACCAAGCCTGGTGAAGATAGCTGGGAATATTGTGAGGAGGGTAATGCTACAACACTGAGAACCAACGCCCTTGGGTGGAGGGGAAGGCCAGAAGCATCGGTGCCGGAGAATGCAGCCTTGTGGGTCAGGAGATGTCCGGGAACAATAGAAATGCTGTGCCTGTGGGTGGCGGGGAACTTGGGAGCTTGGAATGAGGAGAAAACAGGAATGAGGAGGGCTTGACTTGGTAGGCGTGTGGCCGGATGGATCCGACGGGACAGACATCAACTCCTTGTGCCGCTCCCACAATGAGCGAGTGGTCGCCGTAGCCGATGACTTCTGCAAAGTGCACCTGTTTCTGTATCCGTGCGCCCGGGCCAAGGTGAGGTGTCTCCTCCACGCCAACGGCCCAGAGGCCAGAGGAGGGGCGAGAGGGGAAGAGGGGTGCAGGGAGGGAGTCAGTCCAGAGCTGCTGAAGAGTGGGTGGGGGAGGGGAAGAGG